GCCCCTGGAATAGTCTTAGAAAATTATCTTTTAAGTGTTAAAGTGAATGTTGAGCCACTGTATACTTCCAGCGTTAGTATTGTCAAGCTAATTAGAAGGATTTCTTTTTTTTTAAATATTTTATTATCTTTATTTTATGTGTACGAGTGTATTGCCTGCATGTGTGTGAGTGCACCCGCGTCATGCAGTGCCGCAGAGGTCAGAAGAGTGCTTCGGATTCCCCTGGAACTGGAGTTAAGGATGGTTCATAGCTGCCATGTGGGTGCTGGGAATCGAACCCAGGTCCTCTGCAAGAGCAGTCAGTGCTCTTAACCGCTGTGCCATCTCCCCAGCCTCCAAGAAGGATTTCTTTCAAGAAGATTTCTCATCATTATAACTGTGTGTGTGTGTGTGTGTGTGTGTAGGCCAGAAGTTTTTTGAGATGGGGTCTCTCACTGGCCTGGAACTCATTAAGTAAGGCTAGGCTGTCTGGCCAGTGAATCCCAGGGATCTGCCTGCCTCTGAGTCCCAAGTGTTGGGATTGGGATTACAAGTACAAGCCACAGAGACTTCTTTTTTTCTCCAGCGTGTGTTCTGGAGATAAAAATCAGGTCTTCATACTGCCAAAACTAGCATTTTGCTGACTAAATGAATTCTCCAGCCTCTCCCTCCTAGCCTTTTTAAAGAGATTTTTTTTTTAAAAAAAAATTGTGTGTATATGTGTGTGTAGATATATGCAGGTGCCCTTGGAGTACAGAGGAGGGCATTGGATTCTCTGGGACTGGAGTTACAGGTGGTTGTGAGCCTCTCAGCATGGGTGCTGGGAACTACACTGAGGTCCTCTACATGAGCAATATGCACTCTTAATCTCTGAGCCATCTCTCCAGCCCCCTCCTAGTCTTTTAAATGATTGAGGATACAGAGATACAGAGCAATTAAGCAGCCTGCCTAAACATTGTTAGTGACAGAATCTAACCTCCTGTCCAGGTCTTTGACCTCCCAATTCAGTACTTTTTAGTAATATTAATATCTTGCACTTTTAGTAAAAGGTTCTGGTTGCTTTTTTCTCATGTTAGCTGATTCAGCTGTGATCTACAGTAACTATGTATCAACTGGCTCTTGACTGCAACATAAACCAATCTAAACCACTGTTCACAACTCTTAGAAACACTGAAAACTTCTGAGATAGTAGAAAGATGGTGAAGTATCACCATCTTTTAGAACTTCCTTAAATAATAGAAAGATAATTCTTGTAACAACAAAAGATTAGGTCAGTAGACATTTCCTGAAATAGTTTAAATGAATTAGAATAAATAACTTTAAGAGAATATCAGCCTAGCTTTGCTGAATGATGGTGGTAAACTTGCCCTTGATTCTTGACTGCAGGCAAAGTCAACCTGGAAAGAACTGCAGGCACCATCTTAAAAACAAGAATAAGAAGAGCGTTTGCAGGAACAGGCATTTTGATATACAGCATCTTTTGTTTAAAACATGAACAAATTATTAAATGGTGAAATGTATTTTAATTATGTTTTTTTCAGGTATACAATGAACATTTTCAAAGTCAGCCTTTTTTTTTTTTCTTCTTCCCTTACTGTGGTTTTGTTCAAAGAAAAACTTTAGGGCCAGTGAGATAACTCAGTGGTAAAAATGAGTTTAGGGCAAACCTGAGCACCTGAGTTCAATGCCTAGAACCTACAGTAAAAGTAGAGAATCGACTCCTGAACGTTGTCCCCTGACTTCCACACTTGTACTGTGGCACATGTGTACCTTTCACCCCTATAAAATAATAAGAAAGAAGGGGGGGAGGGGAGGAGAGAGGAGGGGACAGAAGGGCAGGGAAGGAGACGGGAAGAAAGAAGGGAAACTCTAGGCCTGCCATGTGGCTGGATAACATTTACAAACAGAAAAGGGGAAGCAAGGTGCAGAAAACAGAAGTGAGGTACAACAATGGCCCACTTGGCTAAAACTTGGCATTTACCTATTTTCGACCTGGTTTGGCTAAAGCTCTTCAGTGTGTGCAATACTGAGTTAGGCTGTATTTCCTCATAGACTAGAGCATCTGAGTGCAGAGGCTTCCTCAAGACAAATTTAGTTTGATTTAACATGGTAAAAACATATTTCATAAATTGGCCCATCTTTCCATTTTTAAGCATACAGTTAGTTCATCGGCATTAAATAGATTCATGATTTTGTACAACTGATCTCCAGAACTTTCAAATCGGAAACTCTACTTATTAACCAACTATGCTGGATAGCTTTAGCTGTTGACACACCTGGGTAGAGGGAGCCTCAGTTGGGGAATTTCCTCTATTGATGTGGCCTGTGGCCATATCTGTGGGGTATCTTGTTGATTGTTGAGTGATGTGGAAGGCCACCCCTGGGCAGGTTGTTCTGTGTTGCATAAGAAAACAGGCTGAACATGGACCAGGGGAGCAAGTCAGTAAGCAGCATTCCTCCGTGACCTGTGCTTCAGCTCCTGCCTCCAGGTTCCTGCCCTGAGTTGGGAACCTTGGGCTTCCTCAGTGATGTACTGTGACCTGGGAGATGTAAGATAAAATAAATCCTTTCCTCCTCAAGTTGGTATTTGTCAAGAGTGTTTTGTCACAGCAATGGAGAAACAAACTAGAACACCTACCGTTCCCTCTTTTGCCTCTCCCTCCAGCTCCTGATACCTCCTGTTCTTTCTTTTTCTGTGCTTCTGGAAAGTCATGAATTTTTTAAAATGTTAATTTCAAGAAATATTTATTGATTGCCTTCTGAGTATCAGGCATTGTTCTTGATGTGGGAGCCAAAAGAGATAAATGGTAGAAAAGGTTAGTTTTTGTTTTGTTTTGTTTTGTTTTGTTTTGTTTTGTTTTGTTTTAGGGGTGGGAGTGGTGGTGGTGGTGGTGGTGGTAGTGGTGGTGGTGGTGGGTGGGGGTCTCCAGGATTTTGGTGGTGCTAGTGGTGGTGGTGTGTGTGTGTGTATGTAAGGGAGATGGGGGTAGATATATGTGATGCATGTTGTGAGTCTGGGCCCACAGGTGCCACAAAGCAGAGGACAACTTTCAGGAATTAGTTCTCCCCTTTCACTGTGGGCTCTGGGATTTTGAACTCAGGTTGGCAAGTGCTTTTACTGATTGATCCATCTTGCCAGTCCTAGAAGAGGATTTCTAAAGGGTCTTTGTTATGCTGGACTTGGAGGTATTAAAAAAATGTCACAATCAAAATTAGTATCTATGTCTGAAATGAGTGAGGACAGCAATGTGTTCTGTGGGATGCTAGCTTAGTAAGTTTTGCTCACACCACTAAAGTGCCTCTGCAATTCCAGGGAGGGACCTTAGAGGAAGAAATATGAGCCATGCAACCTGGGAAGACTGGGTATCAGATTGTATTTACTAACAGTCCAGGGCTTCTCATGAGGGAAAAGAATGATTAGAAAACTAGTTTGTTAGAACAGCTTGGATATGATTTTTGTGTTTCCAAATTCAGAATGCCTAAGAAGGCTTGCTTAGGGAAAAATATTACACAGAGAATAAAAGGGGAGTCCAGTTGGTGTAAGCATATGCATTACCAAAAGCTGAGAAGCAGACTTTTTGGGTGTTGTCTATCTCCGTGTAAAGACAGATCATAGAAACCTGACCACAGAATGCCCTCCACGTGCCAAATAGCTGCAGTTAATATCCAAGACAATTTACAGGACACAACAATGTAGATATTCTGTTCTTGAAATCTTGGAATCTCTTGCAGTTCAGTGTGTGTGAGAGAGAGAGAGAGAGAGAGAGAGAGAGAGAGAGAGAGAGAGAGAGAGTAGTACAGTTGAAGCCAGATGATAAAGATTTCGTAAATCGGCAGCCCAGTTGCAGTCACCACTTGTCCCCTCAGAAGCCTTTCCTGGGGCTGGAATACAGCTTGTTTGGTACAGTGCTGGCCTAGCTTTTATGAAGTCCTGGGTTCCCCAGCACTGCATAAGCTGGGAGTGGTGATGCACACATGTAATCCTCGAACTTGAAAAATAGAGAGCCAAGAGGATCAGAAATTCAAGGTCATCCTCAGCTATATAGCAAGTTTGAGGCTAGCCTGAGCTATAAGACCCTGTCTTTAAAAAAGCCTTATTCCTGATACATGGTACGGCATACTGATAGGTCAAAGGCTTTGTGATCCTTTGAAGTAGAAATATTAAGTTTTGAGCTGCCATTGGTTGGAGATAGGTGAGGGGAGGTTGAACTTTTGAGGGGCCAGATCCCCAAATGACGTTCATGCACCATACTTCAGGCCCTGTTGGGCTTTGACTTCAGGTTAAAATCACTTGGGGAATCACTTTGAAAATTGTCACTGACCAGCCAAGTCAGAATCTCAGAAAATTGGGAAGGAGGCAGGCCTAGTCAAGAGAGTTTTCTTAAAGTTCTGTCTGAAGTTCTGAAGTACACCCAGGGCTAAAACCCATTCTAGCTATTTTAATTTCAAGTAGTAATCTGTAGGGAACATTTATTAAAATGTGTACAAAGTCCTTGCTAACTCTATAAAATAAAATGCAAGCTTTTCCTCCCTACCATCAAATAGGCAGGGCTTCATTTTCTTTTTTCTTTAGTTGGAGGCTCTGACAAAACAAATGAAAAAAGATAGAAAGGCATTTTACAGAGAGGCCCCAGGGCCTTCTTAGGGAAGGATTGGGGGAAATGAGGACTGAAAAACATTATTTATATGCATTTCAGGAAGTTGAAAATATGGCGTGTTCTCAGTCCTTCTCTCTGAATTATGTAATTTTGTAAGATGCAGGATGTGGTCCATTTGTGTCAAAATAATAAGGCATATAATCCGCAGCATATAACATGTGTGGGAATTCTTTGCAGAGTAATTAGCATTCCTTTCTCCAGCCTGGTATTCAGAGGAAGCATACCATTCACACCCTCTGTGTGCTCACATTTCCCAGTGCGTTGGAGAGCTTTTTTCAATAGAAATCTTTGTTCTCCCCCCTAATAAGATTTGGATTAAATGTGAGGGAACTTAGCATATCCTTCTTTTTTTTTTTCTGGCAGGAATTGATTTTAAAATCAGAACGATAGAACTTGATGGAAAGAAAATTAAACTTCAAATATGGTAAGTAAAGAACAAAAATAAATGAATTTCTACTTTAATTGGGAATTGAAAATGGAAATTTAAAATGTGAATTGTGATATTAGAGACATAATCACTCAAACCTCTTTTCTTTATAAAAACTAAGGGGAAGTGAATAAGTACTGACCATCTTTCTATGGCTTCTGCAGTAAGGGTAGGAACATGAGAATACCAGTAACTCCTGGATCCAGAAGAGATCCAGAAGCCTATTTTTAGAAGTGCCAAAATTGTACAAGGGGAAACAAATTCTCAAAAGTATAAATTACTTCAACACAGTTGCAACTCTGAATCAGATAAGGCAAATGACTCAAGTGGCAGAGACCATGAGCAGAAAGTCAGACCTGGGTTCCAGCAGTAGTACGTCTACAGAGGTCTTTGGGCAAATTGCTTGCCTTCTGTTCATCACTAAGACAAAATACCTGAGATAACTAATTTACAAAGAAAAATGGTTTGCTTTGACTCACAGTTGTAGTCCAAGATTGACTGGACTCATCAGTTTGAGCCTCTGAGGAAGGTGCTGAATGGCGGCAGTGGTGGAGAATAGAGCAACTGCTTGCTTCATGAGCTGGGAAGTGAGCAAGAAAGGAAAGGGGTGCAGGTCCTACAATCCCCTTGAAGAGCATGCTTCCAGTGACCTAAGAACTTCCTGTTAAGCCCAGTGCCCCAAAGAGTCCCCTTACCTGTATTGCCACCCTAAAGCTCAAATCTTTAACACATGGGTCTTTGGAGGACACTTCTCCAAACTATGACTTTTTCTCAGGTGCCACTTTTTCTCACCTGTAAATTAGTTGTATTGATGACATTGGAGGTCCCCTATAACTCTGATATTTTATAATTTATTAAATGGAAAAATGAAGCCTATTAACTGAGAAATAAGGAAGAAAATAAGTAATTCAGGTTACTGTGAATTAAAAATAAATTTTTTTTAAATACTTCTGACATCAAACGTATGGGGTTCCCATCTACCCCAAGCAGTTCTCCAAAGGTTACCGCATGGGTGGTGGTTTTTTGTTTTTTGTTTTTTTCTATTTTTGAGACCAAAAAATGTCCCAGCTGGCCTGGAACTCACAGAAGTCCACCTGCCTCTGCCTCCCAAGTGCTGGAACTAAAGGCATGCAACCACCATGCCCGGCTGGGTGTTTTATAATTTAACTCAATTCTAGCATTATCTGTCTGGAGATAGCATCAGATCCCATAGGTTGAGGACAGAGTCCCACAAGACTGCTTTATAAACTATTAATGTCAGTTGTGAGCAGTAAGTAGTCACCTATTATTTTCATACCCTCCTTCTAGAGTTTCATCATAGAACTCAGAGAAACACAGTCACCATTTTTTTTTCTTTTAAAAAATATTTTTTTATTTTATTTTAGGCAGGGTCTCCTGTAGCCCCAGCTGGCCTGATGAATTTATAGCCATGCTCAGGTGCCAAGGATCTCAGAAAGTAGCTGACTGTGACTAGTAATAATCAGATATATAGAAATTAGAGACACAGGTGTAAACATCTAAGTGTTATTTGCATCAAAAATGAGTTTTTCTAGATGATACGGTATATTTTAAAATGAAATGGAGATCTTTTTTAAAGGTTAAAACCTCATTCAATTTTATGTCTTACAGGGTTTATACTGAGTACAATAATGTATGACTATTAATTCAACACTGTGAACCTAAAAATTAAAGCCAATTTTGAAAGAGATGTGCATCTTTGCTCTGGAAACTGTTATTGACTATGTCAATGCTGTTGTACTAAAATGCTTCTACTAAAAAAAAAAATTGATAATTTATTTTTTATTTTATTTTATTTTAGACAGGGTCTTCCATAGCGCCAACTGGCTTGGAACTCATTATGTAGACCAGGCTAACTTTGAGTAGAACTATTTAGACTAGGCTGGCCTCAAGCTCACAGAGATCTGCCTGCCTCTGCCTCCCGAGGGTGGGGTTATTTTTTATTTTTATTTTTATTTATTTTCTTTTGAGACTATATAGCCCTGGCTGGCCTGAAACTTGTATAGACCAGGTTGGCCCTGAACTCATAGACATCTGCTTGTCTCTGTCTCCTGAGTGCTGGGATTAAAGGCATGCATCACTGTGCCTGGCAATATTCACCCTTTTTAAAATTAATTAATTAATTATTTTTTAATATTTTATTTATTATTTTTATTTTATGTGTATGCGTGTATTGCCTACATGTAGGTAAGTGCACCCGTGTTATGCAATACCTGCGGAAGACAGAAGAAGCTGTTAGATCCCCAGGAACTGGAGTTTCAGACAGTTGTTAGCTGCCATGTGGGTGCTGGGATTTGAACCCAGCTCTTCTGCAAGAACAGTCAGTGTTCTTAACCGCTGAGCCATCTCTCCAGCCCCACAATTTTTTTAAAAAGAAATTTCTCATTACATTTATTTATTTGTGTGTATGTGCACGTGTTTGCAAGTTGGTTTGAATCAAAGAAAATATTGTCAATCCACTCAAAGGTACTTGGCTTCTGTTTTCCTCCTTATTTGTTCGCTGAGTGCAAAGTAAGTGTCCCACATTTTTAATGCTGGTTGGTAAGAGAATGATAAAATGAGAGTTTGGTGTGAGGCTCAACTTAGTGCCGGACAGAACAGCTGAGATCTGTGTTGCTTGAGTCTCACTTGAGGAAAAGAGCTGTTCAGTGGCAGCCATGGGACCACAGCTCTTTTAAGCCTGTTTGGTCTTTTGCAGAGTGAGGATGATGGTAATATCACCCCACCCAACACTGGGCTGTGTTGGACATCATGTGAGCACAGTGTGGAAGTGTTTTGTCAGGTAGACATAATGCTAGGATGTTTACTGCTTTAGTATACTATATTTCCATTGGCCCGTCATCTTTTGATAGAGTTTAGTGTGCATTAGCTTTTCAAAGTATCTCCACAAGTGCCTCTTTTTTTGCAATTAAATTGTATAATTTAGTTTGTCTTAGTAGTACAGGGAGTGAATTAGTTGTGGCTATAAATGGCAGATTTAAAAGTAGTGACTTTTCCCAGTATCAAGGAAATTTGGCCCCCTCTATAAGATTGCTGCTGTAATTGTAATTAGAAACTTCCATATTTCTTGGAAT